TTTTTTTTTTTTTTTTTTTTTTGTCTGTTACCACTTTTTCTCAGCTCTCACCTAACGGATTCCTTTCAACGATACGTCAAAAGATCACAAATCGTATCTAGTCAAAGACATTACCCTCAAAAATTGAAAAAAAATCCCTCGTTCCCCGTAAATGGGGGAACCCTCCAAAATAATTATAAATTTATAAATCGCTAATTTTCGAAATTTTTTCAATTTTTTTTACTAAAATGTGCCGTAACTTTTTCAAAAATGAACATATCAATATAATTTTTTTTTTTATAAATGCTTGATGTCTTTACTTATCATTTGGTATATTTTTTTTGTAAATCTGACCCTTTATCTGCCCACAGGAAGGTATTTAAAAAGACAACTTTTTCACAAAAAATTAACTTTTTCAACTTAACTTTTGAAAATGTTCCGGAAGGTCTGACACTTTTATATATATCTTAAATTAAAGCTAATGTAATATACTTTAATTTGAAAAAAAAAAATTGACCTCTGGACTTGTCTTCATGGTGAAAACGGCTACCGAATGCTATTTTTGTATGAAAATTTTCGATTTTATTTTTTATATTTTTAACTTTATAATGCTATAACTTATTGAAAATTGTATGGATTAACACAATTTTTTTATGAGAAATAATATTTTTTAATAATCCCTTTTTAATTCGACATACTTTATCTTAATCAAGATATTAATAAGGAACTAACAGATCATATAGCTTCTTGGATTAATACACCAATTTTTTTAAAATTAAACACTATTTAAAGATTTGCATCGAAGCATTTATTTTTGATAGTGATTTTAATCACTGTCAGNCTTGGATTAATACACCAATTTTTTTAAAATTAAACACAATTTAAAGATTTGCATCGAAGCGTTTATTTTTGATAGTGATTTTAATCACTGTCAGATATCATTATACTTGATCCAACTATGCCACGTCACCACTGTACCGCAACCACCCTGTGCTGGGTATTTTTTAATTTTTACTACTAACTACAACCTTTTTCAATCAGATTATATATTTTTTTTATTTAAAAATTTGGTGTAATTTTACTATTAAAACNATTTTTTACTACTAACTACAACCTTTTTCAATCAGATTATATATTTTTTTTATTTAAAAATTTGGTGTAATTTTACTATTAAAACAAAATGATTTATTGTCGAGTTATAACAAAAAAAAAACCCAGCACAGGGGGGTCGCGGCACAGTGGTGACGTGGCATAGTTGGATCAAGTAAATGATATCTGACAGTGGATTAAAATCACTATCNATCTGACAGTGATTAAAATGACTATCAAAAATAAACGCTTCGATGCAAATCTTTAGATAGAGTTTAATTTAAAAAAAATTGGTGTTTTATTCCAAAAGCTACTTGATCTGCTGGTTCCTTATTAATATCCTGATTAAGTTAAAGTATGTCGAATGAAAAAGGGATTATTAAAAAATATTATTTTTCATAAAAAAATTGTGTGGATCCATAAACTTTTCAATAAGTTATAGCATTATAAAGTTAAATATAATATAAATAATAAAATCGAGAATTTTCACACAAAAAAAGCATTCGGTAGCCATTTTCACCGTGAAGAT